TGTCACTTTTGATCAATTTAATGCATCCTTGCGGAATAAAAATATAAATTTCTTTAAAAATAATAATAATAAAAAATCTTACTGACCCCAAACTTTTGAACTGTAGTGTATATTTATACTGATATTAAATTGATATAATATCGTTTTTATAGCTAGCTACTCTTTCAAAAGGGCAGCTTGACTTAACTGCTATTTATTATAATTAGCTCGGCAGTTTCGATAGTTTGCACAGTTAACCTGACAGATGTACACTACAGTTGAAACGCCTCATGTCAGTAATATTTGTAATGTTTTTGAAAGAGGTCCTTTGTGCTACCAAGGCTGCATTTATTTGATCAAAAATACAGTAAAAACAGTATGAAATTGTCATACTTTTTTCTGGATTCTTTGACGAACTGAAAGTTCAAAAGAACAACATTCCTATGAAATCTTTTGTAACATTACAATTCTCTTTGCTGTCACTTTTGATCAATTTAATGCATCCTTGCGGAATAAAAATATAAATTTCTTTAAAAATAATAATAATAAAAAATCTTACTGACCCCAAACTTTTGAACTGTAGTGTATATTTATACTGATATTAAATTGATATAATATCGTTTTTATAGCTAGCTACTCTTTCAAAAGGGCAGCTTGACTTAACTGCTATTTATTATAATTAGCTCGGCAGTTTCGATAGTTACGAAGTACCTCCCCCAACACTGGTGTGCACGAACACAAACATGTGCATGCTAGCTCAGTAAATGAAATCAATAAATAAAACAAATGCACATATTTATGTGGACTCTGTGTTTGTGTGTATGTATTCTAACAATGCATTATGATGGACAGAGAAGTGAGTAAAAGCACAAGCTGACTGGGGTGACTTGATTTATGTCGGTCTGGCTTCATGACATCAGAACTCTTCACAGTTTTCTTGACCTCTCTCTGCCAAACACACTGACTCACCAAGCAGACATCTAGACGCACACATGATCGTCAAACACACACATTCAGATAGAAGTTTCTGGCTCCAACCACACCGACGTGACTCTCTCTCTCTTTCTCAAACCCTCGTACCATCTCTCACAGGTCTTTTTTTAATGCTTCACCATTTAAGCTTCAACATGTCTGAGTGAACAAGTTGAAAAGAAAGGAGTGAAAGTGATTGGGTGTGGCTGTTTACACAGTAAGTCAAAGCCACTGGGATCGGCAGTATATAGTTTACAGAAAGAGAGACGGGTATGCTGGTGTAAAGTAGTCTCACCATGGCAAATGTTTAACTAACAGCATAAAGTCTGGTGCTCAAAGCCCAATTTAGACAAGAAGAGATCTTCTGACCAACACTAACATTCAAAGTTTAGGGTCGGTAATATTTTGTAGCGTTTTTGAAAGAAGTCTCTGCATTTATTTGATCAAAAACCCAGTAATATTATGAAATAGTATTACAATTTAAAATAACTGTTTTCTATTTTAATATATTTTAAAATGTAATTCACTCCTGTGATGCAAAGCTGAATTTTCAGTGTTCAGTGTCACATGATCCTTCAGAAATCATTCGAATATGCTGATTTTCTGCTCAAGAAACATTTATTAGTATTAATCATGTTGAAAACATTTGTGCTGCTAATATTTTAGTGATTGGGCAGCTGTGATTTTAACATTTTTTCAGGATTCTTGGATGAACAGAAAGTTCAAAAGATCAGCATTCATTTGAAATAGAAATCTTTTGTAACATAATTAATGGTTTTAATGTCGCTTTTGATCAATTTAATGCACCCTTGCTGGATAAAAGTATTATTTGTGACCCTGGACCACGAAACCAGTCATAAGGGTACATTTTTTGAAATTGAGATTTATACATCATCTGAAAGCTGAATAAATAAGCTTTCCATTGATGTATGGTTTGTTAGGATAGGACAATATTTGTCCGAGATAAAAAATCTGGAATCTGAGGGTGCAAAAAAATCAAAATATTGAGAAAATCGCCTTTAAAGTTGTCCAAATGAAGTCCTTAGCAATGCATATTACTAATCAAAAATTAAGTTTTGATATATTTACGGTAGGAAATTTACAAAATATCTTCATGGAACATGATCTTTACTTAATATATAATATCTTAATGATTTTTGGCATAAAAGAAAAATCGATAATTTTGACCCATACAATGTTTTTTTTGGCTATTGCTACAAATATACCCCAGCGACTTAAGACTAGTTTTGTGGTCCAGGGTCACATTTATTAAAATTGTTGTTTTGTTTTTACATGCCGTAAATTAGTGGTGGGGTAATAAATCATACAATATGGAAAAAATGATTTCAAATAAAAGCTTCACAAATAATCACTGTGAATACTGATGAAATAGCAAAAAAAAGTTGTATAGACTTGGTAAACAGAATTTCTGCCTGTCAAAAAGTTTCAGGATCCCGTCTCCAAATGAAGAACATGACCATCCAAAGTTAGGATCTAGATATTTTGGTCAGTCATGTTGATAGTTTGGTGACAGGATCCTGACAAAAAAGTACTGATTATTTTACAGACAAAACTCAGAAAACAAACCAGAAATTACAGTTCTAACTAGTTTAAGTGCCTTAAATAAAACTCTGAGTATCTATCTACCAAAAATTTGATGTCACTAGCCTGGCAAACTTTGGCAAATCTAGACATTAGTTCTTCAATTGTATCAACGGGGTACTTTGATTTCCAAATGGACTGATCTACTGTATATTTCCAACAGACACAAATTTTTTTTTTTTTACAAAAATATTTTATGTTTATTTTAAAATCAACCAACGGCTATCACCACATCCACTGGGTCTGGCTTCGCTCACCCCACCACATGACGCATGGCGGTGTGGAGAAAAAGTCCCTGCTGGTGTTAAAACCCATTTGGAGATCACAGAGTAACTCACATGGCTTGTGCACTCACGGGGCCATTTTGAATCATGCAAAATATGAAAGTCACACCTGAACATGGAGCGGAGACAGGAAGTTCGCCTTCTGAACAGGAAATAAAAACCATGAGGTGACAAAGAGAGCTGTCAGCACCATCATTATCAAAGATCACTGCATGATGCCTCCGTTTGGCTCCTTTTCTAACTCTTTTCTAGAATCTGTGTCAGCAAAAGTACATATACGCACTCCGAACGAGACAGAAATGTTCAGTGCACAAAAACCCCCAGTCTTTCATAGCCATGCCTCTCTCGCTTTCTCTCGTCTCAGCACTGGTATGTGTCAGGATGCTGTAAATTGTGCTGGCTGGTGGATGTGAACTCTTGCTGGGTTAGAGAATATTCTCGTTACTCAGTAAGTCTGGACACCTCTCGCCTCAACAGTTCATCAAGCCGTCGAATAACCTAATTTAAACCCTGCAAACCACACCCTTTCTCTTGCACGGTCCCTCACATCTTTTATATTTTATTACATTATCTGAGCAGAGCTACTCGAAGCTAAATGATCTAATAAATTATTCAGTAAAATAAAAGGAATATTATGCCGTCTCTCTC